GTCTGACATCCTCGCAGGTTGTTCGCGCTTTCTAAGAGCATCAGGGGCTAATGGACTGTTGGCAGCAAGGAGGAATCCGTCTCAAGCTGCCCTAATTCCCTTTCATGTGTTTACGTCTCGGGACAGACTGCTGCGGGACATCAGATGACGTGGATCTCTGGTGTCTGATGAAAAAAAAAACACAGTTCAGTGGCTAGTTTTGGATCTAAATAAGGCTATGTTTACATGGTGCTGTTTAGTAGTAATGCATGAACACCTGAAACTTTTACAGCATTTTAGGTGTTCATTTACACCATGGTGACATATAGTTATATATACAAATGACCCAATACTGTAATTTACTATAGAATACATTATTACAATACACCACGTGTCAAGCATTCCTGATGATTTCAGTTGGATTGATGGAGGATAAAAATTCAGATGTTCATTCAGACGAATCTCTAGAGTTATCCTCGAGTTTGAAAGTCTGAAATTGTGCTCTCGTTTAATTTACGCGTCAATGATCAGACTTGTGTATGGTAACACAACAACTATAGTATTTGATCTGTTGTGGTGATTCTATAGTTGCTATGGTAACACAACAATTATAGTCATTTGTCTGTTGTGGTGATTTTATAGTTGCTATGGTAACACAACAACTATAATCATTGATCTGTTGTGGTTATTTTATAGTTGCTATGGTAACACAACAATTATAGTCATTTGTCTGTTGTGGTGATTCTATAGTTGCTATGGTAACACAACAACTATAATCATTGATCTCTTATGGTGATTCCATAGTTGCTATGGTAACAAGACAATTACAGCCATTTTTCTGTTGTGGTGATTTCATAGTTGCTTTAGTAACACAACAGCTATATTAGTCTATTGTGGTGGTTATATAGTTGCTATGGTAACACAACAACTATCGTCATTGATCTGTTGGGGTGATTCTATAGTTGCTATGGTAACACAACAACTATAATCATTGATCTGTTGTGGTGATTCTATAGTTGCTATGGTAACACGACAACTACAGCCTTTTTTTGTTGTGTTGATTCTGTAGTTGCTATGGTAGCACAACAACTATAGTCATTTGTTTGTTGTGGTGATTTTATAGTTGCTATGGTAACACAACAGCTGTAGTAGTTAGTCTATTGTGGTGATTATACAGTTGCTATGGTAACACAACAACTATACTAGTTAATATATTGTGTTGATTCTATTTTTGCTATGGTAACACAACAGTTATACTAGTTAATCTATCATGTTGATTCTATAGTTGCTATGGTAACACAACAGCTATAGTAATTAATCTATCGTGTTGATTCTATAGTTGCTATGGTAACACAACAGCTATAGTAATTAATCTATCGTGTTCATTCTATAGTTGATATAGTAATTGCCGGTAATTTTCCGGAAAGGTTTGTATGTGTGGAAGGGGCTATAGTCTACATAAATATAAAAAGTGTTACCGCCTCGCATAGCTTCGCACCTTCACACCTTACAGAAGATTAATACAAATTTATATATTTAAACATTTTATATATATATATATATATATATATATATGTATGTGTATATATATATATATATATATATATATATATTTATATATATATATATATATATATTTATATATATATATATGTATATATATATATATATATATATATATACACCTTCAAGGCTGACACAGAGCTAAACCTGAATCTGGAATGTTCCTTTAAATGTGCCAAGTTCCTTTGTGTTGCTTGTCAACCACAAACAGTCAACTGTGCAATGAATATTCATTATTTAATAAATAAGTTATGTGGCAGATGTTTTTATTATTATTATTACTGCCACTGTTCTAGTTATGCATGCCTTGGCATAGTGCTTATTCAAAAACGTTCATTTGCAGAAAAACCTCTCATTAATTTGGTAAAACAAGTGCTTATGATGCAAGTAGCATTTGCTGAAGTTTACTTATTGTTCTTTTTTTATTCGATATGTCTACGCTCTGTTCATTTGATGATTTCTCTGCTCTGGAATTCAGTAGCAGACTGTATCTCTGCTCCAGCAGTGTGTCAGTGGGATTGGAGGGTTTATTTTCAGTCTCTCTCACACATCATAAATGCATTTTTGTGGCTGTGTGAGATGGAATGCACCATCTGCTGGTGCTCGGTGGATGCCAAGACTCTTAAAGTGATAAAGTTTGGTTTCAGAGGGGGAGTAAAGCTGCTATTTTGGAAGCAGCTGCCCTGTCATGCTTAGCCATGCGCTATTTTCAAATAGTCAAACAATAAAATCCACAAAAACAAACTCTCATTGAAGTCTTAAAGGATCAACATGACCATAATATCAGAGACTACATAGCATTGCTCTTGTAATCATTCATTACAGCCTAGCAACTGCATAGCAACAGTAAAGAGTAATTAGAAGACTTCAGCAATGATAGGTTATTTCAATCCAATTAATCTGTCGTGGATATTCTATAGTTACTATGGTAACCACAACTATAGACATTGATCTGTATGGTGATTCTATAGTTGCTATGTTAACACAAAAACTGTAGTCGTTTGGCTGTTGTTATGATTTAATAGTTGCTATGGTAACACAACAACTACAATCATTGATCTATTGTGGTGATTATGTAGTTGCTATGGTAGCACAACAACTACAGTAATTTTTCTTTTATGGTGATTATACAGTTGCTATGGTAACACGGCAACTATAGTCATTGATCTGTTGTGGTGATTCTATAGTTGCTATGGTAACACAACAACTGTACTCGTTTGGGTGGTGTAATAATTCTATAGTTGCTATGGTAACACAACAACTGTACTCGTTTGGGTGGTGTAATGATTCTATAGTTGCTATGGTAACACAAAAACTATAGTCATTGATCTGTTGTGGTGATTATACAGTTGCTATGGTAATACAACAACTATAGTAATTTTTCTATTATGGTGATTATACAGTTGCTATGGTAACACGACATCTATAGTCATTAATCTGTTGTGGTGATTTTATAGTTGCTATGGTAACACAACAACTATAGTCATTAATTTATTGTGTTGATTCTATAGTTGCTATGGTAACACAACTATAGTAATTAATCTGTTGGGGTGATTCTAAAGTTGCTATGGTAACACAACAACTATAGTAATTGATCTGTTGTGGTGATTCTATAGTTGCTATGGTAACACGACAACTATAGTCATGTTTCTGTCATAGTGATTCTATAGTTGCTATGGTAACACAACAACTATAGTCACTGGTCGGTTGTGGTGATTCTATAGTTGCTATGGTAACACGACAACTATAATGATTGATCTGTTTTGGTGATTATACAGTTGCTATGGTAACACGACAACTATAGTCATTTTTCTGTCGTGCTCATTCTATAGTTGCTATGTTGCACAGCAACTATAGTCATTGGTCTGTTGTGGTGATTCTAAAGTTGCTATGGTAACACAACAAATATAATAATTAATGCATGGTGGTGATTCTGTAATTTATCTAATAAAGGCAAAAAATAAATAAAAATAAAAAAACGTCACAAATCGACAAAGCAGAAATCAAGGTCCTATAATGCAATTCATAACCATAAATGAAAGTTCAGAAACTGTTAATTAACCGAGTTTTTAAAGAATAGTAACACTATCGTATTGATTCAGAACCTGCTAGCAGCAGCATAGCACAATTTAGAACATATATCTCATCCAAACCTCAAGGACTTGACAGCTTTTATTTTTCAGATATCGTAAAAATGCTTTTTTTTCCCTATCAATATTACCCATCATGCTTGTTCTCAGTCTTCTTGATCAGCTTGTTGTTGACATTCTGCATCACCTAATCTAATAATGGCGCAAATCTACCGTTAATCCTAAACGTAACCTGTCTGGATAACCTTAATCCCAACAGACTCCAATACAATCCAGTCTTACTTTGCTGGTGCTTCAATATAATTGAGGTCAGTTTACAGAAATCGACACTATTAGCATTGATTTGGAGGTTTTATAAACAATAGTGTGAGCTGTGATGTTTCTACTTAGGCTACATCTAAATTCTATGACATCACCTCCCTCAAGACCTCATAATCACCATGAGTTATCAAGAAGTCACTTGGAGTTTGAAAGGCTTGTGCACCTGTTATTCGCAGGCTTCTGGGAGTGTATGAAAGTGGTTGAGCCATGGCGATTAATGCCAGTGGGTTTGGACGAGGGTTGGTCAGAAGAAGTACAATCTTTGTCCCCTTGTCAGGGACAGGTGCATGTTAAGGATGACGTACTGCAAATGGCAGCTGTCACACAGACGCACTCTATATTACCCACATGGGGCATGAAGCTCTGCTGAATCTGCTGTTCAGTGCCGATATGAATGCTTGAATTTCCCCAAGTTGTAAACTGTGAAGTTGTGTAGTATTATATACAGAGTGTGAAGGAGATCTTTTTAACTTGCGTTTATGCCTTGTTTGCACTGAGCGGCACTGTTCAGTTCAGGTCAGTACAGTATCAGGGTGACCTCAAAAGTTTTTGGTCTTTTCATCATTCCAGTTTGCAGGTATTTTTTTTATCATGATTATATATATTTTTAATATATTTTAATACCCCCCCCCCCCCATTGCAACAACATGCCATCACTAAGACTGTGCCATCTCTTATGACACATGCCTGTTGTTCACATAAGGCATGTTCAACAACTGATCCTGGAAGTACTGCTTGGTCCCCCATCCCGATGTCAATCCCAGTATGTGTTTGTGTTCAAACAGAAGCCACTTTACCAAATGTATGGTAATTCAGCAGCTTCAGTCGGCAAATATGAACTCTGACAGACACCAAGAGACAGACAGGTTGCACACCTGATCTGACAAACAAGTTGTAGTATCTGGTTATGTCTTTCAGTGTGGTGTTAATCGGCCTATTGAATAACATATACACCTTAATACATAAAAGATTTTACTTTGTTTAAACTGGGTGCAAATAAATGAGCTAAACCGACACTTATTCTTCACCCTTTTCTCTGATTTCTAGGCAACTCCAGAGCCAGAGCCCAAGCCTGAGCCTGTACCTGAAGCAGTTGTAGAATCTGCACCTGTAGAAGAGCTAAAATCTGTGCCAGAACCCGTCACAGAGCCAGAACCCACCAAGAAGCCGGTCCCAGCCCCAGAAATTGTGCAAGAGACTATTTCTGCACCAGAACCTGTAAAGGCACCTGTCCCAGCACCAAAATCTGTGGAAGAGTCTGTCCATGTAACAGAACCTGTGAAGGCGCCTGTCCAAGCACCAGAACCCGTAAAGGAGTCTGTCCCTGCACCAGAACCTGTAGAGGAGCCAGTCCAAGCACCAGAACCTGTAAAGGAGCCTGTCCCAGCACCAGAACTTGTAAAGGAGCCTGTCCCAGCACCAGAACCTGTAAAGGAGTCTGTCCCAGCACCAGAAACTGTGAAAGAGTCTGTCCCTGTACTAGCACCTGTAAAGGAGCCTGTCCCAGCACCAGAAACTGTGAAGGAGTCTGTCCCTGTACTAGCACCTGTAAAAGAGCCTGTCCCAGCATCTGAACCTGTGCCTAAACCAGTAAAGGAGTCCGTCCCAGTACCAGATCTTGTGCCTGAACCAGTGAAGGAGTCTATCCCAGAACCTGTGCCTGAACCAGTAAAGGAGTCCGTTCCAGCATCAGAAGCAGTGAAAGAGTCTGTCCAGGAACCAGTGCCTGAACGAGTCCAAGATGTGCCCATCCCTGAACCAGTGTCTGTGCCAAGCCCTGAACCAGCACCTGTGCCCGCCCCAGTAACTGAGCCAGAGCCTGTGTCCACCCCAGAGCCACTGTCTGTACCTGCCACTGAAGCAGAATCTGTCCCGGAATCTTCAGCCCCAGAGGTCTTCGAGAATAACGGTATGTATGCATCAGTACTCTTAAAGGGTCACGAAACACCAGAACACATGTTTTGAGCTGTTGACAGTGGTAAATGTGTCCCACACTGCTAAAAACACTATTAGGACACCTATATCTCACTAAAAAGTGAAAATTGGTTGTTTTTGCGTTATTTCGAGCAAATTCGTACTTACTAGCTGCGTCACGGCCATGAGATCTTAGCGTGTATTCCAGCGTGTAGACTGGACGTCTGTACCAAGGCATCCCGTATTACGTCTCTGAGTGCGTTCTCTGATGAGTAAGACTTGGTTCAAACCAATCAGCGCGCTCTATTATGTATGCGCTGCAACTTAATTAATATGCATGTTAGCTTTCTTAAGGCTGATTTATACTTCTGCGTCAAACGCCGGCGTATGCTACGGAGCTGACGCAAAGCCCTTCGCCGTGGCCGTCGGCGTCACTGACGTGCACCTCTCAAAAAATGTAACTACATGTCGCAACGACGCGTAGCGCAAGCTCTGTGATTGGTTGGCTTGGTAGTGCTGACGAGTCTGGGCGAGACCGAGAGCCGCGCGAATGGCGCAAGCGATTGTTTACAAGTGTGGAGTCCCGTGAAGGAGCTCCGAATGGAAAGTTTTGTTTTGTGTTTACCTCATAGTTAAAGTTGTTGCACGTCCGCCGGTTCCTGCTTAAAATGAGCGAGTTTGAGTCACTTGTACATCCCGGAAGTGTTCAGGAAAACCAAAACAGAAGCGAAGAAACTCGACACAGAGGAACATTTACACCTCACTGCCAACTAGCGTTCAAGAAGTGTTAATGCAGACCAACAGAGACAGCGCGCAGAAGTATAAATGCACAGCCACGCGCGTTGCATGCGCCAAGAGTTACGCCGGTCACCTGACACAGAAGTATAAACCAGGCTTAAGACTGTACCTGAAACAGTGTTCAGACAGCAGAGAGACCCGTGTTGCCAAAAGTTGTGGGAAAAGGATTGTTTGGAGATACGGGTCGCCAGTGTTGCCTTCATAATGTGAAGGTTTTGTTTTCATTTTCTCTCTATGAGACGCTGCTAGACTCACGTGTGGATCTGTGTACGCGACGCGCGGCAGAAATGCGTTTGTTTGGAATATTTTTTATTCGAGAGCATTTCTCATCTATGGTGAGATGTGGATTTGCTGCTCGTCTCCTTTAATAAAGACGCAGCTCCAGTATGAGCTGATTATCCTGTCTACAGATTCGGTAAGTGTGTGCGATCAGCGCCCTTTCTTTGTTCGTTCAGATGGCAAAGTTATAGTTGGTATGGTCAGCTGTACTCTTTCAGTGTTTACAGACAGACCTTAGTCAGAATGATTTCTAAGTTTTTAGTTCACAGTACGTTAATATCACTACAATATTGAAGGATCCGTTAAATGCTGCTCTCTGTGTGTAAACACGTGAACACTGTAAGTAAAGTATTGCAGGCCGTCGTGTTGAATTTTCGCCACATTTTGTGACAGGATAGTTTACACACACACGGCTTTCTGACCTCCTGAGTGCATCCGAGTTACAGAGAAATGCAGAGGCTTTTTTCTCTAATACGACGTGCGGTATCAAACATCCCACCGTCATTAAACACACTGTCTCTCCTGCGTGTGTGTTTGTACTCGGTCAGAAGCGCGTGCCCAAATGGCAACTCCCATTTTTATTCAAACCCTGCCCATTTTTCCTCCCCCGACACGCCCACCCAAACAAAGCTAGACACGCCCACTTTCCTGATTTTTTCCAAACTAGGTGTGAAAACATCCTGCTGAAATGGGGGGTTTCATGGCCCTTTAAGGCTTGCCGACAGACGGTTTTTATAATTCTGCTAAACACCAGACGTCCTCTTTTGTGCCTTTTTATGTCTTGTTTGACATTTTAGATGCGTATTTGAAGAGTTCACACTGCAGCATTTCATTGGACTCTTTATTATTATTGCTCGGCGAAAGTAGTTAGTTGGGATCCTGTTTTTTTTACCGCCAATCTTTCGTTCTCTTCTTGTCATTCGCTGCCGTGACTCTGCTAGTCTCATTATCCTCCATAAGAGCGGGTGTTTTAGTGCTGGCAGAGATACACACTCTTATTCGACCCACTCAAACACTGGATCTTTGTGCTCTGCGGCTGTAAGCTGACGCCTATGTGTAACTGGGTCCCGGTCGCACACTTCTTTTGTTCCCTCAGTGCAACATTGGCTTCTAGGTTGCAATTTCTGCTGCGTTCGCATCCAGGAATCAGCGGGGGGTCCTAGTTTGCAAAGAAACAGAGTTTGTAATGCAAAAACATGCCGGTTTAGGAATCACAGGGTTCATACAGGCATGGAAAACCTGGATAAGTCATGGAGTATTGACCATAGTGTTTTTGGAGTTTTGGGAAAGCCATTGAAATTAGTTTAACAAATATCTGTGTACCTGAATATAGGTTAGCTGTTTTCACTTCTTGGCCAAAAGCATGCTCTCATGTTATTAGTGCTGTGCAAGCATTCTTCCTAAACACATCCCTTATTTTCCTATGCCAATGTTGACAGGTACTAAGGGTGTCACGATCCTCCAAATCTTCGATTCGATTACATTTTCGACTCTAATGTCACGGTTCGATTTTCGATTATGAATAATTAATTAATTAATAACGAATTAATTATTTGTAGCCTACCGTTTAAACTACCTGACCTGCATGGTCTTTGTTTTACCCATAAACAAATCATACAGTAAATGAATAAAGGCAAGATACACACATAATTACCACCTGTCATTCACTTTTTCTGCGGGACTCGTGAATAGGCAGTGATCTGTGTCGTTATAATGGCGTCGGTAAAAAAGACGCACAACCAACAGGAACCAGCCAACAGTATCTGAGGTGTTCGCTAAAATGACTAAAGGCTGATTTATACTTCTGCGTCAAACGCTGGCGTATTCTACGGCGCATAGCCCTTTGCCGTGGCGTCGCTGACGTGCACCTCTCAAAAAATGTAACTACACGTCGCAACGACGCGTAGCGCAAGCTCTGTGATTGGTCGGCTTGCTAGCGCTGACGAGTCTGGGCGGGACCGAGAGCTGTGTGAATGGTGCGAGCCTGATGGAGCGATTGTTTACAAGTGTGTAGTCCCGTGAAGGAGCTCCGGATGGAAAGTTTTGTTTTGTGTTTACCTCATAGTTAAAGTTGTTGCACGTCCGCCGGTTCCTGCCTCAAAATGAGCGAGTTTGAGCCACTTGTACATCCCAGAAGTGTTCAGGAAAAGCAAAACAGCAGTAAAGAAACTCGACACAGAGGAACATTCACACCTCACTGCCAACTAGCGTTTCAGAAGTGTAATGCAGACCAACAGAGACAGCGCGCAGAAGTTTAAATGCACAGCTGCGCGCGTTGCATGCACCGTGGGTTACGCCAGTCACTTGACGCAGAAGTATAAACCAGGCTTAAGTATAAGTGAGTGAAAGATTGAAGCAGTCTACCGACCCGCTGACTGCCTGGACCCGTTGTCTCGAGCGCATGGCTGTGAGTGCGTCTGTGTCTGTGTGGTCACGTGATGTGCGTTTTTAGTGGTAGTGATGAAAGCTGCTCAGAAATGCTACACGCCACTGTGGATGTCAAATCGTTGTCGTTCTAAAATGCCATTTAAAAACAAAGACAGTGTAAACAGGGCCTGAGTGTGTACTTTTCACGAGCGGATTTGCAACGGGGGCGGGCGGAGGATCGCGATGCCGGTGTTGTCTATCGGACGAACCCTAATACGTACATAGCAGAGCTTGCAAAACTTTGTTTTTTTTGCCGACAACACGAACGTTGTCAACATAACTCACTGGAAATCCAAAATGCTTACACACCAGCGACTTCATTGAAAGAGGAGAGGGTTTAAGCTCTGTCGACGGGTCTCCTGCGTCTGCAGTTGAACAAGCACTTCAACAAGCCGGTTTTTTTCCCGCTTGGCAAGCCAAGCTGACGTGACATGGGGGCGTGGCAGCATCGACGATTCTATTTTTTGATTCGATAATCGAAGTTGAGCATAAAGTTTGATCGATTTCGATTTAAAATCTGAAATCGTGACACCCTTAACAGGCATGAACAATGATCACATTGATCACATACCAAGTTATTTTGTAGCAGAGTAAAGTGCGTGATTTTGATGTTCAGTGTTGTGTTTCTCTCAGACGTAGCCTCCGCTGTGGCGTCAGATGAAGCTGAGCTGGCCGACACTAAGAAATCCACCAAGTTTGAGAAGAGATTGACCAAAGAGGAGATGGAGGAGGAGCAGAGGTCAGTGTTTCTGCTCTCTTTAGTTCATCATCTTCCAACAGTCAATCCAGCTTTCACTGTTTCCACTTCATAAACAGTTCAAGTCAGAATTGTTAGCCTTTCTGGATATGTTTTCCCCAATTTCTGTTTAAAGGAAAGTAAAAAAAAAAAAAACAATAGTTTTAATAGCTCATTTCTAATAACTGATTGTCTTTGTCATTATGACAGCACGTGATATTTCACTGGGTGTCCTTTAAGATACTAGTATTCAGCTTAAAGTGACATGTAAAGGCTTCACTAGGCTAATTAGGGTAAGGTTAGGGTAATTAAGCAAGTCATTGTATAACAGTGCTTTGTTCTGGAGACAATCCAACACTAATATTGCTTAAGGGGGCTAATAATATTGACCTTAAAATTATTTTTTTTTTAAATTAAAAACTGCTTTTATTCTAGCCGAAATAAAAAAAGACTTCCTCCAAAAGAAATAATATTATAGGAAATACTGTGAAAAAAAATGCATAGTTGCAATCTAAACAACTACATTCTTGACTAAAAAAGCCTCAAAAGTACATTATGTTGTCCAACAGCAGTAATATTTGTCAAACTGTAGTGTCTCTCTCATTGTTGCCTGCTGTATGTGGGCGGAGTAATACACAGAGGTGAAGGGTGAAGAGGCCTTTGTGTGATGTTACTGGCAAAATATCGCACGGCTATCAGCCAATCAGATTCAAGAATCAGAAAGAACTGTTGTATAAATATATTTAAGTATACCAATATAGATGGGAAATTTGTTGTTGCCCGTGAGGAAAACCAATCATAAATCACACAGAAGTGTTTTAAATGAAAAAGCACAAGTTTCCTGTGAGGGTTGGTGGAGGGGAGAGAATATATGGTTTGTATAGTAGAAACAACAGTACGTCTATGGTAAGTCCACATAAAGACAGCTGTGTGTGTCTGTGTGTGTGTGTGTGTGTGTGTGTGTGTGTAGGTGCACTGTCCTCATGTTGTGCTCTGCTCCTGCTTTATCTTTGCAGGATAGAGTTGACAAATGACTTTACCGCTCTTTAAACAGCAGCAGGCTGTAAAGCCGCTGTCACGCACTGGTAAGGTAACATTTACTTCAGCTTGACCCCTGACCCTCTCGTCCTTCCCGTCATTACACACGAACACGCATACAAACACACTCACACACACACACACACACGTTGCATCACTGTCTGATCCTTCCTTTCCCATAATAACCTGCGCACCAGATTCACCCAGAAATCACCCAGACATTTATTTCAACATGATAACCTAGAACTTCTTTGTTTATTCAGCAAGGTGTTATGTAATGTTATGATGTGACATTATCGTTATCACTACTTCGCTATCATCATAACATTATCATTGTGCTTCAATGAAAGAAAACAAACTAAACTTTAAGTCATTTACGTAAGAGTTTATGTAACTATTCAGTAATTATTTTTGTTTTTAAAGTCTCTTTTTTTCCTTGTGAAGCTCACTTCGTAAGACTTTACTTCATGGAAGTGTTCATAAGACTGTCACGACACCTTTATAACCATTATATAACACACATCATGAATATGAATGAGATTTTATGTATGCTTATGACAGCTGTCATTCGCTCATTCATTCATTTTCCTTCGGCTTAGACCCTTATATATTAGGGGTCACCACAGCGGAATGAACCACTAACTATTCAAGCATATGTTTTACGCAGTGGATGCCCTTCTAGCTGCAATCCAGTACTGGGAAACACCCATACACTCTCATTTACACACACACACACACACACTTTGGCCATTTTAGTTCATCAATTCCCCTGTAGCGCATGTGTTTGGAATCCAGAGCACCCAGAGGAAACCCACGCCAACACGGGGAGAACATGCAAACTCCACACAGAAATGCCAACTGACCCAGCTGAGACTCGAACCAGCGGCCTTCTTGCTGTGAGGCCACAGTGCTGACCAATAAGTCACCGTGCCGCCCTATTGGTTCAAATATGTCATTTTAAATGCATAGATCAACTTGACATCAACATAACCTGTCATAAATCTGTCATAAACATGATCGTCATCAGGCCATAATAACTATGTTTATGACAGGTTATGTTTCCTTGGCAATGTGAAGTTGTCATGACAATGACAAACAGATTATGATGTTCATTCAACATGCAAACTCCACAGAGAAATGTCAACTGATCCAGCCGAGACTCGAACCAGCGACCTTCTTGCTGTGAGGCCACAGTGCTAACCACTGAGCAACCGTGCCGCCCCATTGGTTCAGTTATGTCATTTTAAATGCATAGATTGATCGTCATGACAACTTGACTTAAATAAATCATAACCTATTTTGGCCATGACAACTTGACGAAAACATAACCTGTCATAAATCTGTCATAAACATAATCGTCATCAGGCCATGATAATTGTGTTTACGACAGGTTATGTGTCCTTGGTGATGATGATGTTCATTCAACATGCAAACTCCACACAGAAATGTCAACTGATCCAGCCGGGACTCGAACCAGCAACCTTCATGCTGTGAGGTGACAGTGCTAACCACTGAGCCACCGTGCCGCCAGGTTATGATGCATTTATGTCAAGTTGTCATGACAACGCCATCTCAAACAGAGTCATCCTCGCATTTAAAATGTCGTAACTGAGCGAATGACACTTGATGACAGCTGTCATAAGCATGCATAAAACCTCATCCATATTCATGACGTGTGTCTCATCATGATTGTAAAGGTGTCATTGTTACTGCTGATTTCATTAGATTTATTCATTATTAAAGTAACAAATGTTTCATTGTTTCCATAATGTCATGCTTTTATCCTCCCTAAACATGCCCAAACACCTCTCTGTAGTGCATGAAAATAAAAAATAAAACCTTTGTGTTGTGTAGCGTGACATGAGAGCGAGTAAATGGTGACAAAAAGCAGATTTCTGGGTGAATTCTCCACGGTCCCTTCAACACTATGATCACTGTGTCTCCTCAGCTCACACTGCACAACACACACTCAGAATACAGGTCACTGAGCACACATGAGGCCTGTGCATTATTATCATCATGATGCGATTACAAGTCATGCTTTCGGTGGAGAGCGTGAACGTGGAGCAGAAAACCGGATATGAATCCAAATTACTACTACCTTATATTATTTATAGCTAATAAAGGTGCATTTGGACACTTTACCCTGCACATTTGATGTCTTAATGCATTTTATTGAAGGATTTTGACAGTTGTGAGAGGCTAAATGTCAATAATCATTCTCTACACCAGTGTGATTTATAGACACTGGCAGAAATGATGACGAAAAGAAAAGCCATGTGTTAACCCTGCTGAAAAATCCAGCTTAAACCAGCCTAGGCTGGTTTAAGCTGGATTTTTCACCAAGGAAAACATGTCAAAATATGGTAGCAACATGGTAATTCATGCTAAAAATGTGTTAAAACACACTAGGCATGTGTTACATGTTAAAATATGCTAATACCATGGCAATTTATGCTGTCAATGTGCTAAAACATGTTAGCCATGTGTTAAAACATGTTAAATTTGTGCTAGCAACGTGGTAATGTATGCTATCAGTGTGCTAAAACATGTTTGGCATGTGTTGAAACATGTTAAACTGTCTTAGCAACATGATAAATCATGCTAACAATGTGATAAAACATCAGCTATGCTAGTCATATGTAAAAACATGTTAAAATGTGTTAGAAAAATGGTAATTTTAATGGTAATTTATGCTATCAATGTGCTAAAACATGTCAGCTATGCGTTAGTTGTTTAAAAATGCTAGCAAAATAGTAATTCATGCTAACAATGTGCTCAAACTTACTAGCCATGTGTTACAATGATCAAATATGCTAGCAACATATCAATTCATGTTAACAATATGCTCAAATATGTTAGCCATATGATAAAATGTTAAACTGTGCTAGAAACCTAGTAATTTATGCTAACAACATGCTAAAGCATGTTAGCCATCTGTGAAAACATATTCACATGTGCTATCAACATGGTAATTCATGCAAACAATGTGATAACATGCTAGCCATATGCAGAAACATATTAAAAAGTGCTAACAACATGGTAATTTATGCTATCAATGTACTTAAACATGTTAGCCATGTGTTAAAACACATTAGAATGTGCTAGTAACATGGTAATTAATGCCAAAAATGGGGTAAAACACGCTAGCTATATGTAAAAGCATGATAAAATGTCCAAGCAACATAATACATGCTAAAAGTGGGTTAAAACACACTAGGCATGCGTTACATGTTAAAATATGCTAGCAACATGGTAAATTTTGCTAGCAGTGTGCTAAAACATGTTTGCCATGTTAAACCAGTTACAATGTGCTAGCAACATGGTAATTTACACTACCAATGTGCTACAACATGTTAGTCATGTTTAAATGTGCTAAGAACATAGTGATTTATGCTAACAATGTGCTAGTTAGCCATGTGTTACATGTAAAAATATGCTAGCAATATGGTAATATATGCTATCAAAGTGTTAAAATGTGCTAACAACATGGAAATTCATGCTAAAATGTGTTAATTCACTCTAGAACTATGTTACATATCAAAATATTCTATCAAAATGATAATTTATGCTACCAATGTGCTAAAACATGTTAGCCATGTATTAAAACATATTAAAATATGCTAGAAACATGGTAGTTCAAACTAACAATGCACTAGCAACATGATAGTTCATGCAAAAATTTGTTAAACCACACTAGCCATGTGTTACATGTTAAAATATGCAAGCAACATAGCAATTTATACTATCAATGTACTAAAACATGTTAGCCATGTGTTAAAACACATTAAAACATGCTAGAAACATGGTAATTAATGCCAAAAAAGTGGTAAAACATGCTAGCAAGATGTAAAAACATGTTAAAATGTCCAAGCAGCATGGTAATTCATGCTAGATATGTGTTAAAATATGTTACATGTTAAAAAGTGCTAGAAACATGGTAATTTTTGCTAGCAGTATGCTAAAACATGTTTAACATGTGTTAAAGCTTGGTACAGTGTGCTAGCAACATGCAAATTTGTGTTACAAATGTGTTAAAACGTACTAGCCCTGTGTTACATGGTAAAACATGCTAGCAGCATGGAAATTTATGCTATCAATGTGCTAAACATGTAAACCATCTGTTAAAACATTTTAACATGTGCTAGCAATATGGTAGTTCAAGCTAATAATGTGAAAGCAAAATGGTAATTAATGCTTACAGTGCGTTAAAACACGCTAGTCATGCGTTACATGTAAAAATATGCTAGTAACATAGTAATTCATGCTAACAATGTGCTAAAACATGCTAGCCATTTGTTAAAACACTAGAAGTGCTACGTCTTTGTGTTTTTTCCTTTATTACGTAACCATAAGTTGAAATGTTAGCTTATGAAGCTTACCTTAGCAAGTCTTTCTCAAGCCAGCATGTTTGTTCTGACTTTTGCTAGTAGTTTTATTATTGATCAATCAAGTAATTCTGTTAAATCAGTTTAATTCTGTATACATTTCAGTAGGAGTTAGCTTGCAATATGCAACCTAAGTTCATCTCCTGGAATTAAATTGTGAGTTACAGGCATTTTGAAGGGAATCTGAATGCCTCAAATGCTGCGTACAGATCAGTGCTCTAATGTATGGAAATAAAGCCCAGTTTCACACACAAAGGAGATGCAGTACACGTCATTTTCTGCTGATCAATTAATACTTGCATAATCTCATGCATTTGAAGTAGCAATATCTGATTGTCCCAGTGAAAGATATATTTGGAAGACATTTACTGTCCCTCACAAGGATAACAGATGCTATTATTCAAAGTAGATGAGAGTTACCAGAAATACTTTTCATTGCAGTTGAAATATATGGAAGTAGCTCTAGAGAACATCCTGTTTTTTTTTCTTGCATGCTTTTGCATGTGCTCTAAATGGGAATCGGTGGCTTTAGCATATTTAGAGACTATTAAATAGATCGTATTATGCTTTTTATATTGATGATATCACTTATTAGAACATCCCGAGGCCCATATTTATAAGGAGTTTGTTCATATTTTAGATTTCCATCACCCTCATGA